TTATTAAACTGTTTTGCCATATTGATTAATGTGATTATTCTAAGTATATAGTTGATGACTGTATATTTCTGGGATGTTACATTAAATTATTTATTTTTACTGGTTTAAGATATCTTATAATAATATAGATAAGATTACAATGGATACTATGAAATCTTTCGAATATGTTGTTCTAGTAATTAATTTTGTGGCAGATCATAATGACATTTATTATTACACGTAAAGGTGTGTGAGCAAAGCAAGGTAGTCTCGGTTCGGTTCATGTATAGCTGCGTGGGTCCCACAGACTCTCTCTCACTCTCGCTTCCTGTGCTCACAAGCAGGTTCTTCCCTTCCAAGTTCAAACCAAAATATTCATTCTTTCTTTGTTCTTGCTAATTCCCCGAAAGCACAACAATTATTTATTCTTTATCTTCTCGATTTCTGGCTAAAAATTGTTAGGGTTTTGGGAAGTTAAGCTTAGTTTAAATCTGTTGTAATGTGTGTGCCAATTGTGATGTTAATTTGAGCTGTTGGTTAACTCTGGGGAATGGTTTAGAAAAGGAAAAAAGTAGCACTAGTTTTTCGTTGCCATGGAAAAAGGGCTGCTTCTTTTGTTGTTGCTGCTGTTGTTCATGGTGCTTTCTGCCTTTGCCATGGATGTGGAATATTCACAGTGCAATTGTGATGAGGAAGGGTTTTGGAGCATCCACAACGTCCTGGTTTGCCAGAAAGTGAGCGACTTTTTCATCGCCATTGCATATTTTTCCATTCCCCTTGAGCTCCTTTACTTTGTCAGTCGCTCCAATGTACCCTTTAAATTGGTCTTCCTTCAATTCATTGCGTTCATAGTTCTCTGTGGATTGACCCATTTACTTAATGCCTATACTTACTACGGCCCCCACTCGTTCCGGTTGTTTCTTTCCCTCACTGTTGCTAAGTTCCTCACTGCTCTTGTCTCCTGTGCCACTGCCATTTCCTTTCCCACCCTCATACCTCTTCTGCTGAAAATCAAAGTCAGGGAACTCTTCTTGAGGCAGAATGTGTTGGAATTGGGCCAGGAGGTTGGGATTATGAAGAAACAGGAGGAAGCTAGTTGGCATGTTAGGATGCTCACCTGTGAGATTAGGAAGTCTCTGGATAAGCATACCATCTTGTATACCACACTTGTTGAGCTTTCCAAGGCCTTGGATTTGCACAATTGTGCAGTTTGGATGCCTGATGATGATAGGAAGGAAATGCTCTTGACACATGAGTTGAAACCAAACTCAGCAAGTAGTTTTCACAATTCTATTCCTATTAGTGATCCGGATGTGTTGGACATAAAGAAGAGCAATGGCGTTTGGATTTTGAGGCCTGATTCGAAACTAGGAGCTGCAAGTAGTGGTGGTGGATCTGGGGATTCAGGTGCCGTGGCAGCCATTCGCATGCCCATACTTCATGTTTCCAATTTCAAAGGAGGAACACCAGAGTTAGTTGAAACGGCTTATGCCATACTGGTTTTGGTTCTTCCATATTCAAACTCCAGGACTTGGACCTCCCATGAAATGGAGATAGTGGAAGTGGTTGCTGATCAGGTTGCTGTGGCCTTGTCTCACGCGTCTGTTCTTGAAGAGTCTCAGCTTATGAGCCAGAAACTTGCAGAGCAAAACCGGGCATTACAACAGGCTCAGAAGAATGCAATGATGGCCAGGAAGGCTAGGAGTTCGTTTGAGAAAGTTATGAGTCATGCAATGCGGAGGCCAATGCATTCAATCCTGGGCTTGCTTTCAATGTTTCAAGAGGATAATATAAGGCCAGAACAGAAGATTGTTATTGACTCAATTTTCAAAGTTAGCAATGCCCTATCACGATTGATTAACGATGTGATGGAGATCTCTGCAAATGACAATGGGACCTTCCAGTTGGAGATGAAACCTTTCAATCTGCATTCAATGATGAGGGAAGTTTCTTGCACTACCAAGTGTTTGTGTATATATAAAGGCTTTGGTCTTGAAGTTGATGTAGACAAGTCTTTGCCTGATCTGGTTATTGGTGATGAGGCAAGGTCTTTCCAAGTAATTTTACATATGATTGGCTATTTATTGAACATATATGACAGGGGGACTCTCGTATTTCAAGTTTATCTTGAAAGTGATAGTGGAGATAAAGATGATAAAAATATTGGAAAATGGAGATCAAGCATGCAAAATGCTTATGTACATATAAGATTTAGTTTTCATATAAATGGTATCAGTTCCCAGGCAGATGAAACATTTTCAACAACAAATTGTAATGTTAAAGGGCACTTCAACAATGAATCTAAGGAAGTCCTCAGCTTCAGCATGTGCAAAACACTGGTGCAGGTAGGTGCATCATTCTCTTCAGAAAATTTCAATATCACTTTCTGTCAGTGATTTGTAGTTATATGAATTATTCCTACATTTATGTTTTTACTGTTTATTAAAGAGCTCTATTTCCCCCCCTTTTGAGAAATTTTGTGCTGCTCCATTAATTTTCTGAATTGTGTTGGCTGTAAACCTCAGCATCACATTTTATGCTTAGAAGATGATTTTAGGGTTGAACCCTCAATGTTTTGAGTTGGTGACTGATGCATTGAGGAGTTGATATCGAGAACATATGATGAATTAAAATTAGACTTTTTAAGTGTGAGAGGTCATTTTTAGGAATAAGAAATAGCCTTCACATACAAAGCTCCTATTTGGTCTAGTTTCAAGCATCATAGGATTTGGGGAAAAATATTGAAATAACAAAAAGGACTAAGAAGGTCTGCTTTTTTCTACTGTGGGATCTATTTGTTCTATAATTTTAACGTGAAAGAGACTAGAATTTCCCCCATTCCTCAGTTTTATTATGAGAACAATAAACACTAAATATATTCAAAACAATAAGCGCTTCATGCATTTTGTTTTGTCCTTGCCTGCCAGCTTGACTGTGGGTTGGTTGAGCAGCTTTCAGCGGTAAACCGACTGAAGTAGGTTTAGTTTTAATGTGCTGTGATTGTTTTCTGTAATTCTGACAGTTGATACAATATGGAATCATATGCAGATGATGCAAGGTAATATTTGGATATCAACTAACACTATGGGTTTGACACAAGGAATGACGCTTCTGCTCAAGTTTCAGTCAGGATCATCACATGGAAGATTCATTCTTGCTCCTAAAGATTTCTCAAACTCCCAGTTTAAAGGGCTTAAGATTGTGTTAGCTGATGATGATGATGTAAACAGGACCGTGACCAAGAAGCTTCTTGAGAAACTGGGGTGTCAAGTAACTGCTGTTTCATCAGGATTTGAATGTCTTGGTGCTATCAGTGCCTCTGGTAACTTGTTCAAAATTATTCTGTTAGATCTTCACATGCCTGAAATGGATGGTTTTGAAGTTGCAAAAAGGATTAGGAAATTACAAAGCCATAATTGGCCCTTGATCATAGCTTTTACTGCTAGTGCAGAAGAGCACATCAAGGAGAGATGCCTACAGGTGGGAATGAATGGATTCATTCGAAAACCTATCCTCCTCCATGAGATTGCAGATGAACTTAGAGCTGTCCTACAACGTACAGGTGAAAATTTGTGAAAACAATCCTAAATGCATCAACTTTTTAGGTTCCTCAAAATTCATGACTTTTGACATGAACCTGGAGTTCTTAAACTAAATATAGTAGATACTACATCCATTTTACTAACCATTTTACTGATTAATCTTTATTCCCAAAAATGAATTATGGCTTTCAAACAATGTGTATAGAACTGCTACCCATCATCAGAAAGGACGATGCAAAACCCTGAAAGTGCCTATGGTTTTATGCATTTGTTTATGAAAAGATGGAAGAATGTGACATATTAGTGCTTTTCTGGCATACTATGTCGCGCAATTGAGAACATGTTTTGTGATATTAGTTATTCAATGAAGATGCACAAATTGATAGTGTTTAAACATTCGAGACCAGCACATGTATAGTTCTTGCTAGTTGATTATATTTGATGATCATGTGCAATTGATATTTTAAGCATAGAAGGCTTTTGAAATTTTTGTATGAAATCAAGAAAAAAGAACTTGTACAATTGAAAATTAAATAAAAAAAAAATCTTCATAATCAACTTTTAATTTGACATGTTACATTAAAATTCTATTTTCTGTACTTAAATATTACTAATATGAAAACTTCATTCTATTTTTCTTTTGTTTTAAAATTCATATTATTTAAGTGTAGAAGTTTGAATTTTAATGTAAAATTCAATTTATATTGTACTGTTAACTCGTCTGATTTATAATATTATTTAACATAAAAATGAATGAAATTAATGTTTAAAATCAATTTTTAAGATTATCCTTATTTAGTTCTTGTTATTGTCTCTCACTTATATAATTTATTTGAGATTTGATTTACTTTGATGTATTTATTATTTTTATACGTTGACATTTATAAGAAACTATTCTAGAAATATGCTTATAAAAAATACCATAAAATTTATATATGCTTATAAAAATACCATAACTAGTTTGATCAATTTTCTTGTAAGTGAGAAAAAATAATCAAATAATTTAAAATAATAAGATGATGTAAGATGAAATTATTAAATAAGTAATTAGACTAATATAATTAATAATAATATGAGAATATAAATATTTAAGGAATACAATGAATCAACACTTTAAAATATGATTAATTGAAAATGGTTTAATATAATACAATTTTATGTACTTAAATTGTATAAAATTATAAATTTATATTAGATTGTATAAAATTGTTATATAAATTACAAAATGATATGTTACAAACTTGCATCAAATTTTAAATTTTTATTATTTAAACAGTTTGTATATGGTAAATGTTGGAAGTTTATGTTTTGTGATAAGTATTTAACTGGCAGTGCTTTGTAAAAAAAAAAAAATGTGATAATCAAAGTATGTCATTGTTGATTGATTAACTTTTAAAATTTAATTTATATATTAGTGTAGTTTAAACCATCTTGTTTTCATATTATTTTCATAGAGCTTGATCTGACGTCTAATAATTCATAATTTCTGACTCAATTTACTGGTTAAATGATGTTTTTAAAATTCCTATGTTTTTTTAGTTTTTCTTATTAAATAATATTAGGATAAGTAAAATTAACTAAACCATGTTATTTAAAGTTTGGAACGAGAATATTTATAGGTAATTGATCTTCACTAATAATATTAAATAATTCAAATAGTTGTCTAAGGCAAAGAATTAAACCTAATAAAGTAAGTAAACAAAAGAAAGAAATGAAAATATATTAAAAAAAATCGATAAGAAAAAAGGTTAAAAAATTTAGAAGATCTTAAATCAACATGAGGAAGTCCTCAATCGTTCTTTTTCTTGTTTTATAATATTCCTAATTTTATTTGTTAACATCTCAACATCTAACAGGGAACAACAATTTTAGAAGCAATATACCAAACTTTATAATTTATAATACAAGTTATAAACTGGTAAAACCATTATCATTCTGAATATCAACTTCATGAGAAATCGGCTTAAACTTTTTTGAATTGAGAACAACAAAGATACTTCAAAAACATGTATATATTAATGATTTACATTTTGGAACTTTTTATGCCATCTAATATTTTTTTAGAATTATCAAATGTTAATATTAATATTTGATAATTTAACAATTACTAATAATTTTCATAAAGTCTAATTATGAAAATTTTGATTCTTTAAATATTTATTATGAAAATAAATATTGGACATGATCGGAGTTAAATTGTCTTATTCAAACCAAAAAATTGAATTGATTTATTTAAAAAAAAATTAACATTTTCTAAAATTTTAAAATTCATCTTAACATAATTAAGAGTGATTAATACAATGACACAAAATATAGTTGAGGAGTTGAAGATCTTCATACCTAAATTTACATTAATTGGACACTTTTAAATCAGCATATCGCATTATTAAAATTTCTAGAGTATAAATTTGAATTTTATTGTAGCATATCAAATTAAAAGTTGATTAAAATTTTATCTGTACAATTTACTCTTAAATACATAAATCAAGTTGTGGATGGCTCATGAGTATACAGAACAAACCCCCTTATACCAAAACCTCACAATCTTAAATCAGAGAAATAATGTTTAACGTTTTTCTAAAGTGTAATGACTATTAATATTTATGAAACTAATAAATATGATAAAAAAATTAAAATATGATGAACATTAAAAATATAATTACAAAAATGTTAGTTATTATCAAGTGACATAGACAAAATCCACCAACCAAGAAATCTAAAATTCAATTAACAAAAAGCTTTTCTAATTTGTATGCGTTCATTTGATCAAATGAGCAGTCAGAAGATACCACCCCAATTTTAAATATCGTATTAATTTCTATAAGTTTATTGAATAACTAATATTACAACAATACATTAACAAACAACATAAGCTAAAATTAGTCTAATGTATAGTTTTTCCACATTCATCCATCTTTTCATATTATATATATATATATATATATACACACACACACACGCAAGAAAGTAAGCACTTTCAGAATTTTGCATTTAGTCCTTTTTCCTGTTTGATTATGAGAAGAGGTTCTATGCGCCTTGAAAAAGTCACAATTCATTATACGGCCAAAGGATCAAACAGAAAAATGGTTAGCAAGATGAAGCTAGTATCTACTATCTATCTAGTATATTTCAGTTTGTTAAGAATTCCAGGTTCTCTTTCAGAATGTTGTAGTGATTAATTTGAGGAACCTAACAGATTTGGGATAACTAAACTTATTCTCACAATTTTTCACCTGCACGTTGCAGGACTGTTCGAAGTTCATCTGCTATCTCATGAAGAAGGATAGGTTTTTGAATCAGTCCATTCATTCCCACTTGTAGACATTTCTCCTTGATGTGTTCTTCTGCACTTGCAGTCACAGCCACGATCAAGGGCCAATTACGGCTTTGGAATTTTCGAATCCTTCTTGTAACTTCAAAACCATCCATTTCGGGCATGTGAAGATCCAGTAGAACAATTTTGATGGAGTTACCAGAGGCACTTACAGCACTAAGACATTCAAATCCTGATGAAACAGCAGTTACTTGACACCCCAGTTTCTCAAGCAGCTTCTTGGTCACAGTCCTGTTTACATCATCATCATCAGCTAACACAACCTTAAGCCCTCTAAACTGGGAGTTTGAAATATCTTTGGTAGCAAGAATGAATCTTCCATGATATGATCCTGTCGGAAACCTGAGAAGAAGTGTCATTCCTTGTGTCACACCCATAGAGTTAGTTGACATCCAAATATTACCTTGCATCATCTGCATATTGTTCCATATTGTATCAACTGTCAGAATTACCACAAACAATCACACCACATTAAAACTAACATGCCTCAGCTGGTTTATCGCTGAAAGCTGCTCAACCAACCCAGTCAAGCTGGTAGGCAAGGACAAAATAAAATTCGGTTTTAGGCCCAACTGTTCAAAATATACAGGACAAAATGCATGAACGGACTTATCGTTATGTTATTTAGTGTTAATTGTTCTCAGAATACAACTGACGAATGGGGGAATTTTGAGCCTCTTTCATGTTAAAATTGCTTAACTAATCACAGGAGAAAAAAGTAGACTCTCTTAGCCATTTCTGCTATCTCAATATTCATTTTGTCCTTGACGCCTATGATGCTAGAAATTCTCACAATCTAGGTTAAGATCTCAAAAGAGGATAATATATCATAGATATGGGATAAACAAGACAAAATCTTAAAGTTATAGAGGAAAATAGCGACTGTAAAATGTTGCTAGACCCAAGGGATACCATGATTGTCAATAACAAAGAAAGATAGTTGTTAACAGACTGGAGATAAATTACAACTCATGAGATAGAAACCCTAATATCCTTAGCTGAAACATGCCAGGAGAGAAATCTGCGCAAAATTAAATGTCACTGCCACATACAAGAGATCACTGATTTGTAAATTTTCAAAAGAAAATGGTGCACCTACCTGCACTATTGTTTTGCACATGCTGAAGCTCAGGCCTTCCTTAGGTTCATTGTTGTGGTGCCTTCTACAAGAATAATTTGTTGTTGAAAATGATTCATCTGACTGGGAACTAATACCATTTACTCGAAAATTAAATTTTATATGTACATAGTCATTTTGCATGTTTGACCTCCATATTGCAACACTTCTATCATCTTTATCTCCACTACCACTTTCAAGATAAACTTGAAATATGAGTGTTCCTTTGTCACAAAGGTTCAATAAATAGCCAATCATATGTAAAATTACTTGGAAAGACCTTGCCTCATCACCAGCGACCAGATCAGGCAAAGACTTGTCAACATCAACTTCAAGACCAAAGCCTTTATATATACACAAACACTTGGTAGTGCAAGAAACTTCCCTCATCATTGAATGCAGACTGAAAGGTTTCATCTCCAACCGGAAGTTTCCATTGTCATTCGTGGAAATCTCCATCACATCATTAATCAATCGTGAGAGTGCATTGCTAACTTTGAAAATTGAGTCAATAACAATCTTCTGTTCTGGCCTTATACTATTATCCTCTTGAAACAGTGAAAGCAAACCCAGGATAGAATGCATCGGCCTCCGCATTCCATGACTCATAACTTTCTCAAACGAGCTCCTTGCCTTCCTGGCCATCATTGCATTCTTCTGGGCCTGTTGCAAAGCCCGGTTTTGCTCTGCAAGTTTCTGGCTCATAAGCTGAGACTCTTCAAGAACAGACGCGTGAGACAAAGCCACAGCAACCTGATCAGCAACCACTTCCACTATCTCCATTTCATGGGAGGTCCAAGACCTGGAGTTTGAATTCGGAAGAACCAAAACCAGTATAGCATAAGATGTCTCAACCATCTCTGGTGTCCCTCCTTTGAAATTGGAAACATGAAGTATCGGCATGCGGATGGCTGCCACGGCACCTGAATCCCCAGATCCACCACCGCTACTTGCAGCTCCGAGTGCCGAATCAGGCCTCAAAATCCACACCCCTTTGCTATTCTTTACGTCCAACACATCTGGATCACTAATAGGAATAGAATTGTGAAAACTACTTGCTGAGTTTGATTTCAACTCATGTGTCAAAAGCATTTCTCTCCTATCATCATCAGGCATCCAAACTGCACAATTGTGCAAATCCAAGGTCTTGGAAAGCTCAACAAGTGTGGTATACAAGATGGTATGCTTATCCAGAGACTTCCTAATCTCACAGGTGAGCATCCTAACATGCCATCTAGCTTCCTCCTGTTTCTTCATGATCCCAACCTCCTGGCCCAATTCCAACACATTCTGCCTCAAGAAGAGCTCCCTGACTTTGATTTTCAGCAGAAGAGGTATGAGGGTGGGAAAAGAAATGGCAGTGGCACAGGAGACAAGAGCAGTGAGAAACTTAGCAACAGTGAGGGAAAGAAACAACCGGAAAGAGTGGGGGCCATAGTAAGTATAGGCATTGAGTAAATGGGTCAATCCACAGAGAACTATGAACGCAATGAATTGAAGAAAGACCAATTTAAAGGGGACATTGGAACGGCTGACAAAGTAAAGGAGCTCAAGGGGAATGGAAAAATATGCAATGGCAATGAAAAAGTCACTCACTTTCTGGCAAACCAAGACGTTGTGGATGCTCCAAAGCCCTTCGTCATCACAATTGCAGTGTGAATATTCCACTTCGATAGCAAAGACAGAGAGCACCATAACCAACAGCAAGAAAAACAAAAGAAGCAGTCCTCTTTCCATGGCGACAAAATAATTAGAGCTACTATTTTCCTTTTTCTACAGCATCCCCAAAGAACATACACCGGAAATTGACACCACAATTGCTACACGCATTACAACAGATCTAAACTATGTTTAATTTCCCAAAACCCTAACAATTTGGAGTCAGAAATCGAGAAGACAATGAATAAATGAGGACCTGGTATGCTTTTGGTCAATGATATTAATTGATAAAATAATGCCACCCATCACCAAAAAATCCAATCTTAGGGTTTAAGATTGCACTTGGTCGAAGGCAGAGAGAAAGAGATGGGACCCACGCACCTTTACTCAACTGAACTGAAACTCCCTTCCTCTCTCAAACAACCTTTACCAGCAATAATCATAATCAATCCGACACTCAATTATTTACTACTGTAACACATGATTTCAAACATTTCTTAATGCATTGATTTTGACTTCTTCAAAATTGCATTCAAAAACTGAAAGTAGAAACAACAATTTAATACTTTGATTTTTAACCTGAAACTAAAATCAGATATAAAATCATTGATTCTAATTCAAACGAAACAGTATCAGATGTGATGAAAACAAGGGTGAAATATATTTTTAATTTTTAAAATGAAATTAAAATTTATTTGGGTTTTAAATTTTGATATATTTTAATTTTAAAATTTTAAAAATAAATAGATATAATTATTTAATTTAATGATTTTAAATTTATTTTATGTAGTAGTTAAAAAAGTTATATTTATTTATTTAATTAAACTGAATAAAAATTTAAAACAACCATAAAGTTTTGCACCTCCAGAAACCTTTTTGTTCCTTTACCTTGCATGTAACAATGTTATATCCATTCCCTTTACACAATCCAGAACTATTCTTATTCTTTCATACTTCTTTTCCACCTTTATAACGTCTTGCTTTCGGACCACCTTTTGTTTTAGAAATTCGAGGACAATGTACAACATTCTCTGTTACTTCTTCCTCAACAACACTATTATTATAGGACTGTGAAGGAAGGGGAAATTCATTTTGAGTGCAAAATGCACTGTGAAAAAATGAGAATTTTTTTCATAAAAAGAAATGGAATCTTTTCATTACAAAAGAATTTGAAAAATCTTATAAATTTCAAAAAGATTTTCTTTCCAAAAATTCAAGATAATATTTTTCAAACGTTTCAAAAGAATCACAAAAATATCTGTGTTTATAAATATTCGCAAATAAAATATATGTAAGGAATAAATGATACTCGAGAATATTTAATATCAGTTGATAATAGACAGGAAATAGCTATAAACATATCGATGCGACTACCGTATTATTCATACCAATATCCAATACTAAAAAAGAAACTAAAAATTATATTTTATTAAATATTTAATTTATATTATATTATATTTTGTATATTTATTATGAATTTTAAAGTTTTAATAATGATACAATATTTATTACCCTAAATTTGAATCACATAAAGTAGATATTTATTGTGCAATATTAGTATTTTTGTTTATTTTTAATAAAAAAATGATAGTTAGTGACTTATGGAACAAAATATCTTATTCAACCTAATATGTGTGTTGTTTTGTATTGTATTTATGGAAGAAAAGAAGGTGACATGAAAATTGGGTTTTTTCTAATTTTGTAAAGTGGGCATCATGTTGTGCTGTAGCAGTGGAAGGCGATGATCCTTCAGACTGGGTCCGTAATATCATTTTCAGTAGTCACCACATATTAAAGTTTGATGTATGCATTATTATATGAAGAAAAAAATCAATAATGTTACAGATGTCACGAAGAGAATATTTCAAATTTAATTTTAAGATAAAAATTATTTTTGACAAATGTTATAAAATTTGTAAGCTAAGAATTTAATAATTAAGAATTTATCATGAGCTGGAAACTTATTAATTATCAATTAGTATACAAACTATATTAAAATACAAATTGTGGAAAATTCTAAGTAATAACTTAACTAATAGACGTAAAACGAATATAAATATATATAAAAAAGTAAACTAAAAATTCATAAAATAAATTACTTTTGAAATGTTTATAAAGTAAAAATTCTTAAAATAAATTATTTAAGGTGATTCTCAAATGTTTTTGTATTTATTAACATAGTTCATAAATTAGTTAAATAAAATAGTAAATATTTTTTTATCATACCAACAAAAAATCTAATATCTACATTATAATTTGTTTAGATGAATGATAAAAAAATAAAAACAAAATGTATAAAGTGTTTAATATGAGTAACTTAAAACTGAGAAACTTCTCATATTTAGGTTAAATTTTAAAAAATAAATTGTTTAGATACAACGTTTTTCAAGAAAAGATGTTTGACCAAATTTATCAGAAATACATTTTCATTAAAGAGGTGAAAATCTAACTTTTTTTAGTTAAAATAATAATTTTAATAAAAAATAATATTAATCTTATTAAAATATTTAATGTGATACTAAACTAAAACTAAATTTTTTAATAAAAATGATACATTGTTATGATGTTTTTAGAAAACCTAATAAATATTGTAAGAAATAGTTTTCATCAAGCAAATAAAATAAAATTCAATTATACAACAATTAATAATGTCTAGTAATTTTGTTTTAATCTATCAAACAGCTGTCCAACACTCCTTTAAAGAAAAATAATGAAAAATGAAGTAGGAGGTAGTTTTTATCTAGGGGAGTGTTTAATATACAATTTACAAAGTAATCATTGAAGCATCCATATTCAATATTAAAAACTGGTGCCATCATTATAGCTGAAAATATCACCACCAACTCTTCTATTAATTTGTTAAAAAGAAACAAATCATATTGGATGTGCAAAAGAAAATTAAATAAAATATTTTCATTGAATAATTAAGCTAAGTGATTCCTAGTTCTTGTATTCTGTTCACATGACCTTTGAGGCACTTTTCGTATATTGGTAATAAACTATTACACACTAGACATTGCTAAACAACTGAAAAGATGTAATGAATAAATAAGGGATCACTGAATCATTACTAAATGACAATGTTATAAAAAGCATGATCAGTATCAAATAACCACAGAAATGTTTTTTTTAATCATATAAATAGCAAAGAAATATTTTCGTCTGGATGTAATGTCTTTTTTGACACTGTTAAAGGAGATACATTAAAATGTATTGGTTGGTATTGGACAAAGTAGATATATCTCAACTATACCTTCTTTTATATTTTATTAATTAGTGAATAAGTTAATTTTAAAGTACAGAAAAACTCATTTTTTCCTCTTGAAAATTCTTTTGGAGAAATATATCTAAATAAACTGTAAGTAGATTATAATATCCAATTTATAGTTTAAAAGTGTTTCAAATTCGTTGTATTTATTTTATTTTTCTCATTTAAGTTTTGTGTTTATCCCTCAATATTTCAATCAAAAAGAAATTAGTCCTGCAAGAATCTAGGAAATAATATTTTTAATAAAAACAATTGAAAACGCCATTGGAAGTGCAATTTAAAAATACGTCTTCAGTTTTCCTTGCATCATAAATCAAAATGCTCTTAAAATCACAAATTTACTACTTATCTAAAAACTTCTGAGCATACAGAATATAGTTAAAAAGTATACAAGTTAACCATATTACACTACGCATAATGTGGACTGTATCTTAAAAATCGAAAAAGTTTCATTACATTTACTACTTTACGAGCCTAACGGCCAAGAAGATGAGCAGAGAAAGATAATCAACATTTTCAAAATAGGCTTAAATGACGAAGCATAATATAATAATCATGTAAGCTTTGACAGAATTTGGAAGAATATATCTTAAAGTGCACTTGAAAATGAAAGGAAAATATAATCCACAACAGATTAGCTAATCTAGGAAACATATATCTATGATATTTATCCCGGTATGAACTAACAGGCCTGCAAAAATGAAGTAAGCAACCTGATTTATACATACAACACCAGTAAATGAGGCAGAACAATATTTTCAAGGACAAGCATTAGTACTAATTTTCAGAAGCCACGAGCTTTAATGAATGGTGCATACTATAAACGGCATCACGCGACAAAGAGGACCGGTATGTATAGATATCATACATCTATCGCACATTGGTTTATCAAATCCAAAGCCATATCGAGTTTTCAATCGGGAATTTGCTCATAGCCCCCATTCTCAGGAGACTGGTGCGACCCATGACCTGTCCTTCCTGCGGATAGGAAACCTTATTACACCATAGCGAAACTATTAGAAGGAGCAGGTTAGTCCATACCTGTCAGCTCAAAACTGGAATTTCTTGAATCCGGACGAGCCCAGTCTGTGGACCGGGGAGGCGTCCCCTGCAAACCAAGCTGTTGAATCATGAAATGACTTCCCCCCATGGCTTGATGCTCATCATTTCCGCGGATTGGATTTCCACTGGGAGAGTCGACGGATTGGCGGAAACCTAAACTTGATACCGGTTCACTAACAGGTGGTGGTGGCAACTTACTTGCAGAGGCATCAACTTTTGGGCTAGAATCCTTCTTGTTGTCAATAAAAAATGTTCCAACGATGACCTGTGTAGATTAACCTTTCATAAAAAATGACTTCCAGGCAGCGGTTGATAGGAATAAAAACAGGAAGGTGCAAAATATAATAGTGAAATTTGACGATGTAGATATAAAGTAAGTCTATATGCATACTTTATTCACCGGTTTTCCCTATCAATTTTACTCTCACCAAGCACAACCCAAAATGCCCGTCTCATCTTCCCTTTTTCTCCCTATGAAAAATTTAAACATGTAAAATCACATTTGTGTATATTAAGGTGAAGGCTATAAAAAGAAACTACAGAACAAGCAGGAACAGAAGTAGAGAGCTGATCACATACAACTTTCTCTCCAACCCCTGTTTTACCTTGAAGCATATGTTAGCAACCTCATGACCGCAACTTAAAATCATATCAACAACTACCGAACCTTCCCACTAAATGAGGTTGGTTATATCTAGTGGTAAATAATGTCCTAATCATAAATCATGCTCAATGACACATTTTAAATCTAAATTATGTTGATGGTTAGGCCTACAATTTTTCAAGGCACAAATTGCATATTGATCAAGACAAAGAAAAATAGAATAGGGCACAGCTCATATTTGCCATCAAAAAGTTCTTCCATAGTTCTTTCTGAAATTACCTGAACTGGACCAGCTGCTTTAAGCGGCCCACCAACTCCACCGCCTATGATTTGTCCATCAGTGTTAGATAAACATACACTTAGACCACCAGTTCGAGTTCCAATCTCATTCCGGACGTAAGATCCAGTAAGTGAAATAATCTCAAATCGACCCTGATGTCAAAGCAAAGAGTCAAAAACTTTGATAACTGCAATATGAGCACATGAATACCAAATATAATAAAGCAGA